AAGTGCTCACGCACGACATGAACGCATTTGTGCCGTTCTCGTTCGGCCCGCGGAACTGCGTCGGCAAGAACCTCGCGATGCTTGAGATGAAAGTTGTCGCAGTGCACATGCTCCAGCGGTTACAGCTGCGGTTCCGCAAGGACTTCGACCCTACGCGCTGGGAGCACGTCATGGAGGATAGGTTTAACCTCCTAGTGGCGGAGCTGCCAATTGTCGTTGAGCGAAGGTTCTAAGACGATGGGACGGCGTTCCCTACATATAAAGCTGCATATATGCGCGCTAATTATGGAGTTATAGTATGGTTAGCGACACAGTGCTACATATTCTTTCACGCGGCAAAGAAAAAAATTCACAACCAGTTTCATATCACAATAAATACATTCGTTTATTGCTTTTCTCCCCTCTTTTCTCCTCTCGCGTAATCCCGCACTGTCTCTTCCCTTCACGAGAGTAGAGACGACCCTTAAAAAATTATCCGGATATCCTGTTACCGATTACCAATCCTCTGAACCAAAAGCTGACGACGTTACTCAGCATCTGTTTAGGCGGCCGCAGCGGGCGGGGCTGTCATGGGCGAGGCAGGCTGCATGTTAGGGAAGAAGCCCGGCGGGGGCGGGGGCCGCATGGGCATGCCAGTCGGACCGAAGTGGTGGTGATGGTGATGATGATGATGCGGCGGGGGAGGCGAGGGCGTTTGATGTTCGTGTGCATGATGCCCAGGCCCATGTGCACGGTGTTCGTGTGCATGGTGTCCGCCCCTGCCCCCACCGCGTCCGCGGGTGAAGCCGCCACGGATACGACCGCGGTAATCGTGGAAGATGCCGAACATATGCGGCGGTGGGCCGGCGGGCGAGTCGGTCGGCGGGATGAACGGAGAGGACATGGGCCCGAAGCCACGGCCACGGCCGCGCGGGTCGAAGCGGAAGGCACCGCGCATGAAGCCGTGGTGGCCATGGTGGTGACCGTGGTGGTGACCATGGTGGTGCCCGTGACGATTGTATCCGTGGCGGCCGAAGCGAGGGCGGCCGGTGAGGTCGAGAACGAGGAGCGCCACGTCGGCATCGTCCTCATCGTCGCCAGAGATGCTGGATTCGCTGATCTCGTCAACGTCCCGGAGAGCGCGATCAATCTCCATGTAGTCGACGACATCGGACTCAGCGTCAGCTTCTTGGTTAGCGCGTGTATGAGTGGTGCTAGAGCTGTCGTCAGCATCGCCGACAACTGTGAAAGATGACATGGAGATGGTATACCTGTTCTGCGCGCCGCTGGTATCGCCTTGATCCTTATCATTGCCCTTCTCCATCTCTACTTCATTCTCCTTACCTGACTCGGCAGGATCGCCAGTGGACTCAACGGTAGTGGACGACGCGATCTCAGAGGCGTTGTTGACATCAATTGCGACAAAGGATCGAGTAGAGGAACTCTCTGTCCCGGCGCTACGCAGGACGCTGAGGTCGTGGACCTTGCAGCGCACGACCTTTGCAGCCTCGCCAGACTGATCGTCGCCCCCAGCAACAGCGGAGGCGACTGACTTAATACAGTCTTGGAGCTCCTCGTCCGAACTGACGACAATGTCGTCGCCGTCGATATCGATGTACGAGATGACGATGCGGTCCTTAGGGATGGTGTAGCAGCTCTCAAGCTTACCGGAAAGATTGGCCCAAGTGGGCACAGCGAGGAATGACATGCGACGGCTAAAGCCGTCAGACGAGTTGATGAACTTGAAAGTAACGTTGGACATGGTAGATGTGCTATCGAAAGGTGGGTGAGGGGGCGTTGGAGGGACCCTTTTATACCTTCTCGCAGAAGCGCAGCCGCAGCAGTCGTTTTATGATTCGCCCGGAGCCGTGTCGGGAGCGGATGGCGACGCGCGTCGCCAGAGTACTGCGGTGTGTATGCGTAGTGACTCATCTCCGGAATACCATCATTGCGTCCCGTACGTCGCTGGATTTGAGTCAGCGAGAAGAGACTGCGCAGATGTTTGTGGGTTGTACCGGGAGCCACGACTCTCGGAAGGATGCGTCGTAGCGCATGCGCAGCCGGGCCGCTGAGTTTATCGCGGCGTACTAGCTACAAAGGCATCGCAGTCACGGAGCGAGTCTGAAGCAAAAGCAGTAAATACCAGCGAGTTCAGGAGAAGGGAGAGGAGGAAAGCGTTGGATATCGTGTGCCGCCGATTTTGGAGGCCAATTGATCTGGCCATTGCCGGTACGTGCCGATTGCCCCTAATCTCTGGTTTCGCTGACCGCTACCTCCAGCACTCCCACTCGATTATTCATTAACATATCACTCATGTCGCGTCCTATTCCTTTATATCATGCAAATAAACTCTTGAATCATTCTCAACAGTGCCGATGAGGCGACGTCTAGTTGACGATTCGAAGCGAGAAACCTGAGCATTTCCCACCTTGGACACTCACCAGGAAGCTCATTTGTGAAGCTTTCCGCGAATGCGGTTGGTACAGGCGTGACGGTTTAAGGGCTCGTAGTATCATGCGAGCCATAATACCCGTCACAGCTTTATCTACTCTGCTACATCGGACCTCGTCGAAGGCGTGCTCTTGTAGATTGATGTCAATACGAAAAAGAATTATGGTCCTTGCTGCGAAGCTTGCGTGCCCGTAACTTGCTTTGCACTCCCTTACTGCGTGATTTTGTCTCACATTATTGTCTCGAGATAGTCTCAAAACGTAACGTGCTTCCTAGTCGTAATACACAAGCAAAGGCTGGCTTCCCGTGTGATCAAAATCCACCATGTCGATCTCGACCGGCTCCCGCGTCTTCATATCCACTGGTGCAGCAAGGGTAGAGCCATATAGGCCCTGCATTTTCCGAACGCGAGAAGCAAAGGCGCGCAAAACGAAGTCCCTAACGCAGATTCTAGATCTCACTCAGACAATTTCTCTCGAGAGTGCGATGATGCAGGGCGGGAAGACGTGGCACGCCCGGCGAAATTGACACTGTTTCGTTCCTGGCAAACCTCTGGCTTACGCTGCAGCGTTCAGCGTCTTCGCAGACGACTTCGTGCTCTGCCTCTATGATAGCCTCGCGTTCTGCATCATCCCGCATCTCAAGGATCCCCAAGGTGTACCACACCTACGTCAGCGAGGAACACTACGTCGCGTGGAAACCCCTCATCCCGAGCCTCGTCGAGCGCTGCCGCACCTGGGCTTATGCTTCCGACTGCGCATACGCCCTCCGCAGAGAGGTACTGCTCAGAGCGGCGACCGGGTACCCGCCGATATACAACTGTGGGCCCGGGACTCGGAGCGGGCAAGCGACGGATGTGTTTCATTCATCAGTCCACACTTTGCGGTATTATTCTCGAGCTTATTGCGAGCTTCATGGCGTGGATGCGCATTATTTCAAGCGAAGAGACGCGCTTGATGGTTGCGAACTTGGAGCAGCAGAGCGACAGTCCTTAAGAGGGATCCTTGCCGCGCTGCGGCATCCGCAACACAGCGATCGCTATAGGGAATCTTCAAATAGTCTGCAGTCACTGCACGAGAGTGCTGTACCGCAGCCGTAGCTTGCAAAATTTTGTGGGATTGTGCTGTGCTTCGTTGACATCTGGATTGGATGGATGGATCAGACCTTGGGCGCTGATGGCAAGCCATACTGTACTTTTACGACCGTAGCGGATGAAAGTGCCCAAAATGAGTTTTTCCGACAAGTCGCCAAAATTGCCATAAATCGAGAAAATATTATTGGCGGTGTCAGCCGAAAACCGGTGTGACGTGTGACATCCGCTACGGTCGTAAAAGTACTGTACTGTAGTTCAACACTACATTTACGCAGGAACATTAATGAGGTGCAAGGCTTTGAACACTTATCAAAGGGCCTTTCCCTCTCAAGGCACGGAATCTCATATATCTTTCTACCCTACAGGGCAAAAATAAAATATTCTGATCCAGGTATTTGCTCCCAGATTCCAACAAAATGGGACGCCCCAATTACGAAACATGATACATCACGGAGGTCGTTTGCCTCTACATCTCCAGCTAGTGACTGAGAGTCCATCTGAGAATTGCTGAACAACCCTCCTTACTCTGTACCACGAGGCGTGCTTGATCTGCCGAACAGAAAGGAAAAGTGGCATGGTTGTCGAGGCTAAGGTCGAGGATGAGCTTAGAAGTGATATATACGGTCTTTGTCATTGATACATTAGTCTTGAATCCTGTTTTCCGGCTTTCAGATCGACGAACAAGCACGAAGACGCCGACACCGTCTTATACTACTCAGGGAGCACGAAGCATCTTTGTAGTATTCTCAGTTTATCTGATCCATTTTTGTCTCGGCTTTCCCAGCCAATTACTTTCCTGCTGTTGAGGTGTCATCTCTCCCAGTGCAGCGCGAACGGGGAGCATCCACATGCTAAGCAGCGAAAGGGAGGGTTGCTAGCAAAAACTGGCGCGAGAAAAGGCTGCGTCTGTTTTCGCTGATCATTAGGAATGCCACATGCATCGCTGCCCAGCTTGCCTCAGGCCTCCTGTCATCGTCTGGACCCGCTCCAGCCATGGCTCTGATGCCAAACGAAGCGCGGAGGAGCGGCTCGAGCATCACTTCTATATCTTTCATTGCGGGGCGCAGCGTTCACAACGACTCGCAGTGGCAAGCCTTTTCCGCGGAGACACCCGCTTCGAACGCGACCGCGACGGCTGCACAGCCTCTCTTCTCGGCAATGAGAGTTAATTAGATGCAACCCCTGCCTGCTGGCTACGTGACAATGCCGCAAGCCAAAGATGATCGCATGGACGATGCCGTTTATTAGCTCTATCGCTTCCTCAGGTTTCGTCCGCGGCTCCTCGGATGGCAGTAGTTACCGGTACCCAAGCGCCCCTATCAACTTCTATATACATTGCCCCTGCGCTGTAGCTATAGTACTTTTAGTCGCTTCTCCGCGCTCCGCCTTGAGAGCTAAATCGCAGATGCGCTGCGCAGAAGTTTCGATATGTTTCCCGTTGGTGAAGTCAGCTTGGGGACGAAGTTGGCATCCATCGCGTCTTTCGATTGAATAACACGCATGGGAAAACACACAAATTTAAATGCACCTCATTAATATTCCTGTGTAAATGTAGTGTTGAACTACAGTATGGCTTGTCATCAGCGCCCAAGGTCTGATCCATCCATCCAATCCAGATATCAACGAAGCACAGCACAATCCCACAAAATTTTACAACCAAGAAGACGAAGAGAAACCAAGGCCTAACGCGCCCCCATTACGTCCGCCACGGCGTGTATCTCGTCCGCGCCGCGGAGACGCGCCTCGGCCCACACCGTCGAATATATCCCGTCGAAACTGAGCTCGCGGAAGGTATCCGCCTGGAAGCAACGCCCGCAGAGAAAGCGGCGCCAATTGTACCTTGCAAACGACGTTTGGTGGTGCGATGTCGCGGTGAGGGGGATGAGCACGCGCCCGGGGCTGAAGCCGAGGTGGACGTGCGTGAGCGCGCCCCGCGGCGCGCTCTCGAGCATCGCGCCGACCTCGTCGAGGACCTTGTGCGCGAGCGAAATCAGCGTCGATGGTGCCATCAGATCGTGGATGGGTAGGTCGTACACAGACACACTTCTCAGGTTCAGGTATTGTGAGAGGTTTGGCAGTGTGAAGGATTCTGCATACGCAGACAGAACCGCAGTTTTATGAAGGGTAACTGTCAGCATTCTGCGACAAAGTGGCACTGGGGGACGTACGAGTAGCCCAGTCTGTGAGGCGGTGGGTAGGTATGTGAAGTATAAGCTCCTGCAGATCCGGGACGCGAGCGAGAAATGCGGCGGTAGCTTGAACAGTAAAGCTGCGCATCCCTCCGTCGGTAGGCTCCAACTCTAGGCGCTCAAGAGTAGCGCTCTCGACCGTGTCCGTCAATACGTTAATCATCGTCATGAACGATGTGGGACGGAATGTACTAATGTACAGCCTCTTAGTAAGCAGAGGGCTCAGTCGTTCCATGTTGAAGGGTCCCATATACGATATGTCGCGACCGAGGGGGCGGTTTGTGAGGTTTGGGACATACTCGTCGGTGAAATGTAAGTCGTCGATGCTTTCAAAAGCGCTCAGGAATGCGAGGAGACAAGATATATCCCCGACGAACGAAGCCATGTTGACGAGGCGAAGTGACTTCAGCGATAGGCGCATATTCCTGATGAGCGGTAACTGGGGGTCAACGGGGTGAAAGTCGGCCGGCCACCCGAGGAGAGGTAGGGTCCAGAGGTCCAAATAAACCGGCAAGGAGCAGAGTTCCAGAGATTCTAATTTGGGCAACAGTCGTAGAATTGCCAAAAGCTCCTCCACCGAGAACGTCTGAACGACGATGTCCGCATCAGGTACGCCTGAACCTAGTCCGCGTACTCGTCCACCCGCCCATCCGTCTATCGACTTGAGGATCAGGTGCCTGATGCTATCGCGCGCTCTGTCTGTCAACTGTAAGTAGTCATGTAGAGCGATAACGCTCGGCCTTGCGACCTCAAACGAACGGAAGTACAAGCGCGTACTCCACGCCGTCCACGACTTGCAGACGAGAGCGCACGCAGCCAGGCTACGCTTGTCCTCAATAAAATCGAAGATCATGTCAGTGAGCTCTTGCGGTAGGTCATTCGCGCTGCATCGCACGTTGAGGTTGAGACATCCTTTGCACTGCATACGCACACCAAGACCATACGACGCATCAACAAACTCCGTGATTTAGTGAGAGATGGGGCGGAAGCTCACAGTGACGTCGCTTTCTAACCAAAGATCGGGACTTGGAGGACGGAAGCGATCCCAGATAGGCCGTGGCTGTGGGAGCGACTGTAGCCAAGCGGCGTTGAGCTGTGGTTGTGCCGTCCATACAGGCCGTGGTATGGAGGCGAGAGGCACGAAAGATGCAAAAGAGTGCGACCGAGATGTGGGGAAATGCGGGACCATTGCTGGTCGTTGCAAAAAGGGGTTGGGTGGTTGGACATGCTGCGCTGTGAGTAACAACGGGGTTGTGGCGTCGCCTTGAACGCCAGGGAAGGGGAAAGAATGGGTTATAGCTTACCTTGACCCGTCGGCGGTGTGTTCGAATCCGTAGCATTACCGACTTGTGTGACCCACGTCACAGCCTGGGGAGTTCCTGCCACCCAAGCATTTGTCGCAGGCAGGCCGAAGCTGAAGCTCATGGTTCTCGTCTTTGCAACGGCCGACTTGGAGAGTTTTGGGTACGAATACAAGAAAGAGTTCGCAGAACGTCCGCTGCAAGTGATTTATTCGGGTTGGTCCTGCGCACCGCCCCAGCGCAGCGGGGTGGTTGGTGGCGAGTCAGAACAAAGGACGGTACCGGTGTGGCACGAACAATGACTGCATATTGCCGTTCTGGGAATTCAGCACGTGCAGGAAGGTACAACTACTACAGCCTTTCTCGACTTTGTCCCGAGGAACACTGACTGCATTTATACGTGCTTCGCCATATTTGCGATGCTGGCGACTAAGTAGAGTGCAGCTTATTGATTTTTAGCTGAGTGACGGCGGCTGGTAATTACTATTAAGTATTGAAAATGAATGCTGCCTGTTTTGTTAAACAAGCGCTTTTTCCTAAAGAAATTGCCCTAAAATGGTTAGACAAGGTCCAAAGTTATGCGCGAAGGCAAATTGAAATTGAATCGGGCTGAACCGATCAAAAAGCCCTAGAGCCGGCGGAAGATGGAATTTTGTCTATGGATTTTCTCAGGTGAAACCCGGCGGAAGTTCAGCGTCCCGCTGCCTGCGGAGGCGACTCAGCGTTGGGCAGTCAATGACCGAGTCATCCCAGTCACGGTCATTGACTGACAGCTGGTCACTGATGGGTCAATGACCGAGTTACAGTCAATGACTGGGCGGTTTCGTGATCCCACGCAAGCGAAATGCCGGGGTCGAGCGCTTGGGGGGACAGACCCCAGTGGAATGGCAGGGCCTGATGGCGCCCTGCGATATGGTTGGCTGCCAAGGTGGGACCCGGAAAACCGGCCAGTCACGGTCATGTCTGACTCGGTCACTGACCAGTCATTGACCAGAGTGACCAGTCACTGACCAGTCACTGACCGGCACAACGAGGACCCTTGCCGGGTAGCTTCCCAGGGTCAGGGTCAGCCGAGACGAGAGAAGGGAGGGGGGAAAGGAGTGCCCGGGTGCCCTCCGCTACCCTCCGGAGCTCCTTGCTCGCGGGAGAAAGGCTCTACGGAGCCTTGTGCGCGCGTCGGGTAGCGTCTAAGCACATCTTGCGGGCCTCCACATCGTAAACCAGTCATATCTGTGCGTCGCTGAAAAGCGTATCAAAGTTGTATAGCTACATTTGAAGTGTTCCTATAGTATTTAAAGAATTATTCTCAAAATTTTAAAAGCTATCTGTTTGTCGTTCCTGACTCACGTTATTTTCGCCACCCTTAAGACAACTGGCCTTGCCCCGCGACGGGCCTCTGCCAGTGTAATGATCCCACGGTTTGACGTTCGTGACTGTGTCACATCTTTTAGCTGTTCTCGCGCGCAGCGCAAGCTTGTGCATGGCTATGTTTCGAGACTCAGTGCACGGACTAAAGCTACAGACAAACAAAAGCTAGGCAGTACCATGGAGGTTGATTGGCAGGCTCTAAGTGATATGCGATTCCTACGAACACCCCTGACCGTTGACAGTCGCTCTCACTACCGCCTTAAAACAAATTGATAGAGGGAATTACACCCGGGCAAACATTAAGCTCTCCTCTCCGTCGCCACATACGTCAAAGAAATCCTTTTGAATCAGCCAAGAGAGGAAAACGGAGTGCTCGACAACTCAAGTCTTTTATCGATTCACGTATTCTTGACAACATTGTCTGTTCGAAACACACGAACTCGAGAAGAGGGTAGCGGGGCTGGCCACACTCCGCGCGACCTATCCAATTATAACAAAAATACGCTGCACAAACTGAGGAAAACAGCCGGGTACCACTGTGCAAGGCCTAAAAGCACGCTCGGGTTAGGGTTCCGTTCGGTCGGCCTGGCGTCTAGCCTAAACGTACCCCCTTGCCATGACGAAACCTCCTTGTGTGAGAACTGTAAGTGCGGCTATTTTGGGAGAAAATTAAACCAAATTTGATTAAACAAGACCCCTATCTATCGCTGACTCTCGGTCGAACTATGTACTTTCCATAGTCGACTTCGATTCGTCCGTTCTCCGTCGTATCCAACCCTAGTTCCAGCTGTTGCTGTTGAACCTTCGTATCCACTGTACATGCGGAGACCATCGGGAATTAGCAGGAAGGTCAGCCTTCGTTCGCAGTAGTACTTGGTCTGACATTGCCATGGCTCCCAGTGCAGAGATAATGATATGCTACACCGCCGGTCAAAGCAAGACCGTATCTACCACACCCTGAATGGGCGAAAACTCCCATGTATTTTAGTCACGGGCTTCTAAGCTGCTTCCGCCTTACGCCCAACTGAAACATGCGATGAGCACTTCGCGAGAAAGGCTCGTCGCAGCCGTAGGATGCGCCGCACTCTGAGATCTGAGAGCCTGCAGCAGAAATTGCAGTCATCTGCAGAAGATAGAGGATTGCATAGGTCCGGGAGCACAGCCAAGCATGCGCTGCTTCAAAAGTATCGTCGATCGGTTGCACCCCGCGGAGCTGCAGCGAGACCGCGTGGAGAGATCTAAGACATTAACTGGCCTAGCATAGGGAACTGAGTTCTTGCCTCCCTTATCATCGGACATCCTTTATATGCCTAAGGCCTCCGGTTTGCGAGACCCATTTTCTTCTAGCGGGATAGCTGTAGTCAACACTCTCCCTCTTCGACGGGCGTGGTGAATTGACAATGAGCTCAGCAACTGACTTCTCCGCGTTCTTCACTGAGTATGTCGCCGTCTCTCTACGCAACCCTCTATTTATGCTTGGTGAACAGTCAAGCTGTCGCCTACTGTGGTGTTTCTTCTGCAGGTAAGTAAACTGCTCCCAAGAGTGGAAATGTCCTGACGCTTCTCAGTCATCTTGTTCTGGGACTACATCATTACGTTTGGCGACGAAATCAACCTCGTCTGGAGACGCAAGCTCACCGGAGCGACAATATTGTTTCTTTTGAACCGCTACGCCAGTCTAATCAAGAACGTGGTCGAATTTTCCAATTTGTTCTCACCATCACTCACAGTAAGTACTGTCGTATATTCTGACTTCTTAAAAGCTAATCTCTGCTAGGCGTGAGTCCTCGTGCAGTCATACTTGCTCTACATGTCCGACATGTATATTTTACAGGTGCCAACGTTCCCAGACAGCGTACAACATATTCGATCTCAGCGCACTCTTCGTCTTCGCGGGTGCGACACGTCAGTATTTGCCATTCGTCCCGGACGCTGACAACCCTTCTAGGATTCAGTGCATTCCGTGTTTGGGCTATCTGGGGTAGGGAGCTGCGTCCTTTCTTATTCATTCTGCCATTCTGCCTGGTCACGCCTGTCTTGAATGCGGTATGTCTCATCACTCTGTATGAAGTCGTAAGCCACACTGATCAGCGCACAGTATCGGGTTGCCAAGGCCACCCCAATCTTCGACGATGAATACCCTTCACCTTGGGGCGGGTGCGAGGAGGATATTGGAATGCCAATTACACTATATATTCAGTGCGTAAATATAGCCTGTTTCGCATTTCGCTACTTCTAACTCACCACGCCCCAGATGTACGTGTCTGTCATCGTTGCCTGTTATCTCCTGCCTGAATGCTCTTCAGTCGGCGACATCACTCGCGCAATAGCGATAGTCACCGACGGCCTTGTCCTCATCATGACATGGATTAAGACATACAGCATATACAGGGCAGCCCGACGAGCGGGGGCCGGGACAGGACTGTCTCAGCTCCTGATTCGTGACGGTACTTTGTACTTCGGGTAGGTATTCTCGTCCCAGGTTGCCTCAATTTCGCTGATAAAAATTCAGGACCCTTCTGGTGTTCAACATCCTCGCTGTGGTTATCAACAGCACCTCTGCGGTGCGTTTTCCATTCGCCCTCTTCCGAGCCAACTTCTGAATAATCAATTCCAGGACCTTAACCCGGTTAACTACTTCAACGATAATGTGAACTGCATCTTCATCTCGCGCTTCATACTCAACCTGCGCTCCGTGGGCGCTAACATAAACAACCGGGCGGGCACGAGTACGAGCGGAAAGGACACCGTCATGTGGGGCGGCCTCGGCGGACCGCTCGCCCACAACCGCTCGTCTGTCTTTTCCGGGTACACGCAGGACATCACGATGCAGGAGTTTGAGCGCATGAACGGGCCGCTCGCGGCGGGGCTTAAAGGGTGGAAGAACACCGAGGACGTGCCTCTCAAAGAGTGCGTGTGGCTCATTCTCGCGGGATTGTGCGCCTCAGAAGCTAACGAGTGGTGTCATGTAGCGACATACCGGAGGCAGACCTGCATTACGTCGAATCGTTCCCCGCTCCGGAAGATCATGCGATAGAGCTGCGGGAGTGGCATCACCATACGGAGAACGCGTACGCTCGCCCGTCGACATCTAGCGCCCAGTCTGCAACGGCGTACAGTCGCGCGTGATGCAGAAAGAGTCAGGAGAAATCGTGCTGGAGGCTTGCTAGTATTCTACTAGTAAAAGGTCGCTGCTAGCGGAGGACATGATGATACCCAAATTCCCTATGAGCTTCACCTTTAATGTGTAAGAGTAAAGTGTGGTTTACGGTAGGACGTAAAGGCATAGAAGCAGGACTGCGGCATATGCTGAACGTCCGTACAGGGCATATATGGTCACGATCGTGCCGGTCTAGACCGTCTGGCTCACAGCGATCATGGCGAGGCGCGGGCGTGTCCAGCACGCCCGGCGCCTCAGATCGTCATGAGACACAGCGGACACTTGCGACTCTCGATGAGCCGCCGCTTGAGACAGTATTCATGGAAGCTGCAGCCAAAGCGGGTTAGCGCGTCGCGTCACGGGGGCGGCACGGGTTAGGGCAACACTCACGCGTGCTGGCAGTGCGTGCCGAGGCACGCGACCTCGGCGTCCTTGAACCGCGAGAGGCAGATGCCACACTTGTCGACGGGCTCGCCAAGGAGCGTCAGCTTCAGCTTGACGCGGCCGTCCCTCGCGCGCCGCCGCTCGGCACGGACGCGCCCTGAGGGCGGGATCTTGAGCGTCGTCTCGTCGACGACGAACGGATCCTGCGCAGCGTTGGCGGGGCGCGCGAACTCGGAGATGTGCATGAGGTCCTGCAGAAGGGCATTGAGTCTCTAGTGAGCGGGCGAGCGAGAAGGACCGACCTCGTAGTTCCTGCCATTGTGGTCTCCTTCGATGACCCTCGACGCGAGGTCGTCCAGATCGCTGAAGTAGGAGTGCTCAGAGATGGGCGAGACTGCCGGAGAAACCGGCGAGGCAACAGCGGCCGTTGTGCGGAGTGGGGAAGGCTGCCTGCACGGTAATGCTGGCTGTGGCTGGTGCGGTGGCTGTGAGCGAGGCGGCTGCGGAAGTGGCCGGCCTGGGTAGTGGTGCGGGTGTGTCGGAGTGGTAGGCGTACGGGGAGGCGTGATGGAAGGAGACTCGATGGAGATAGTGGACATGCTGTCTGTCACGGTCACCACCGGAGGAGGAACGCGCGTCTGAGCGGGGTTGTAGCGCGTCGCTGGGGCCGAGGACATGCCAGCATAGCTCGAAGCAATAGATACAGCGTCAGAATCTTGAACGGGAACAGACATTGGGACGTTGAAGGAGCCATAAAGGCCTGCGCTGGGCGGCGGGCTGGGCAAACTGTAAGTCGTCTCAGCTCCGTCCGGGGAGCTGGGACGTAGAGAGGGCAGTGAGGGGTATGGCCTAGGCTCGTAGGGCGTAACAATCGTAGTCGCAGTCATCGGGCTAGCCAGCGTTTGTGCTGGAGATGCGACTTCTGCGTAGCTTCTGACACTGGCCGCTGCCTGGGTGTCGATAAGCGGCAGCCAGACAGCGGAGGGCGATGCCTTCATAGTGGTAGACATAGCCTTGCGGCGCGGAGGTGGCGGTGGCGGCGGCGGCCTCTTCGCTTTCTTCTGGCTCTGGGTATCATGCGCACCTAGGTCGGATGTAGGGGATGGTCGACCAGCACCGGAGCCCGCTGCGGTGCTGGACTGGAGGGAGACAACCGAATGGTTCATGGGTAACGTCAGAGTGCTACCGTTCATCGCAGGATGCCGAATAGGTCGATTGAGAAACGGGGTGGTCTGCGGGCTAGCAAGAGCCTGCCTGCGAGTAGACCGCGGGCTGGGACTCATAGGAGAAACATAACCGTGCTCCTGCGATACTTCCGAGACTGGGCTAATAGATCGCGAGCCACTCTTGTGTTCCTGCTCCTCTGCCCAAAGGACGGAAGCACGATTGACCACCTCCCAAGGCTCGTCGTCAGCGTCCGGAGGTGCCGGTGGCGACCAGTCACGATCCTTGCCCTTTGCAAACAGCCTCCGAACGCCCGAGGTCTCTCTGCGCTTGATAGACGATGGTGAGGAGCTGTCAGCTGCTTTGGAGGGAGAGCTACCGTTGGTAGATGCGAGTGTAAGTGTACTACTCCATGCTCCCTGGAGGAAGCCTAGACCGAGAGGCCCTGTCGTCGTTGGCGATTTTGGCATGGGGGACGGCGGAGAGTCGGAACCATGGACAGCTTTGGTATCGTGGGCGATGATAGGCTGAAGAAGCTTTCTCCATCCTTTCTTGCTCTTAGGGGAGCTCGGAGGCGTCAGACCATCTGGCTCGTATTCCGTGAGATCTGGAGAAGGAGCAAGCTGGCGCCCATTGACGCTCGAAGGTTTGGGCGACCCGCAATGAGTACACAGACCGTGGGTGCTTGCAGTGTCCGCATGGTGCGACGTGTCGGCATGATCAGACGGCGTGAGATGGCAGGAAACAAGGTTGGTAGTGCTTTCGGCAACTAGCAGCCTGCGACGCTCGTGTACAATCCTCTCGGTAAGCGGAACACCGCGTCTGCGATCAGCCTCCCAGCCCTCGCTCACGTTATCGTAGTTGACGATCTCGACGCTGGAGGTGTTGCTGGATGACTCATCGGAGCCTGAACCAGACGAGCCCGATTGATCACTGCTTGGCTGCGAGGAGGGGGACGACAAAGGTGACCCTGAGGGGCCGACTGCCGTCTGTACCGTCAATGAAGGGGGCTGTGTCGGCTCAGCAGCATGCGATAAGGGTTCAGGATGGTTGGCAGAGGGAGCGAATGACGTATCTGGTGCTAGATCTACTTCCGGTGTATCTTGCTGTGGTCCGTCCGTCGATGCTTCGGAGAGTGGAGGTGGGATGAAGGGCGGTGTCATGAGTGCCTCCTGGAACGATGGCGGTGGATAGTCAGGTATCATCGAATCTGGTTATTGCGATACTTAATTGCATGCGGCCTCAGATAATTGAAGGATCTTACCTCTGACAGCATTCGGAGGAGGCACAGGGACCCGGGCTGCCCGCCCCGCCGAGTTGTTGCTTCTCCTAGTAGCACCTCTCGGGTGCGTAGGGGCCGCTACGTTGAATCGAGGCTCATCTGGCTCCCGTCTCCTGTCTGGACGAGGCCTTTCAGGGATCTTCTTCTCGCTTTTCCGCGTCCGCCTAGCATTCGGGGATGAGGCGGGCGTGGGCTGGCCGTGGTGGGTCTCGAGATGGGTCAAGTAGGGAACGATTCGGTTGGGATCGCTGCGACCTGAGCCGGGGGCGACCATCTGCTGAGGGCTGGCCGTTGAGCGAAACATCATCGACGACGATGGTAAGGCTGTCTATCCTACACGCGGTCCGAAGCAACGACGCCTAGGGGCGGTGGCGCAGCAAACACGATGCTGGCACGCGACGTCCAAATTACCGGCTCGGAAACAATTCTAGATCTCCATTTCCCGGGCCCATTTCGGAGGGCTTTCTGGGGTTAACGACGTTCAGAAAATTCGCTAGGAGAAGACGAAGATGTGGTTCGTGAATGAAACGTCTCTCGAGCTTCATGAAAAAAAGGCTGCTGAAGGATGAAACGGAATGGGGTATTCAGGGTCCGGACGCGAGCCGGTCACTGGTCCCGGGGTCTTAAAAAGAAGCGCCATGAAGTATTAAGGGTCTTGCCAGCTCGGCTGGGGTCCTAGTTATGATCACGTGAGCAATCTCTCGCGTCGCGTTTGGCCAGTCGCGGTTTGCCTTAGACACCTCCTTCCACCGCCTACCCATTCTCTTTCCTTTTGCCAGTATTTCTGGCCGGGTACAGATTAAGTTTGACATGCCTGCGAGGGTGACTTTTACACTCGATGATCTCTCCACAAATATTCCACGAATATTCGACCAAGTCCAAACCACAACGGCCAATCACCAGAAGAACTATGTCGCGCTGTACAAACTACATGTCGAAGCTTCAAAGCACACAGAGACTATAAATGATGGAACAAGTATAAAGCTTGTCGGCGAACGCGCTTTCGAAGACCTGTTCATCTCCATGCTCAGCCGGGCGCTGCCCATCAAGAAAGGAGCAAGCGTCGTAGACAGGATTATCAAGTTTGTCGGTGGATATACCAAATTCGTGAACGAGAAAGGTGTGTTCAACTCTGCTAGTGATGCTCATGTGTAACCTGTTCTGTCTAGCGGTGGAGGAGCGCAAACAACAGGAAGCGGCACGAAAAGCCAACCCTACCGAGGAAGACGAGCCGGACGATGACACACCCGCTTCACGTTTTGTGTCAAGATTGCTGCGCTTCCTCTTCAAAGGCTGTCAGGCGAAAGACAAGATTATTCGTTTTCGAGTTGTTCAATGCATAGCAGAGATGGTTGCGCACTTGGGAGAAATCGAGTATGTCATCCTGCATGTTCAATGTAGCGTACAACTCATCTATTACGGTAAAGTGACGATATATATAATCTGCTGCGTGGCAATCTGCTCGAGCGCATACGAGACAAGGAAAATCCAGTACGAGTTCAAGCCGCCATTGCTTTGTCGAAACTTTGCGGCTCAGAGGACGACCCTACCGAAGAGCCAAAGATTACAGACGTTATCATAGACATATTGACATACGATACGGCGGCGTATGTTTTTTTATTTATTTTGCGCGCATATACCCGCCCACTAACGTCCTTCTAGAGATGTCCGTCGTGCAGCACTGCTCAATCTTCCTATCGGCCCTGAGACCCTGCCCCACATCCTCGCTCGCACTCGTGATGTTGATGTCACAGTTCGGAAGCTCGTCTACCACAACGTCCTCGAACCTAATTGCGTAATCGAACACGATGGCGGCATCAACGTCGGCGTCTCCCATCCGCGTGCGTTGAGCATTGCCCAACGCGAACAAATCGTGCGAAACGGCCTTGGTGACCGCGAAGATGTCGTCAAAAGCGCTGCCATGAAGCTGGTCGCGACGTGGGTTGAAGTTGTCCGCATGGATGGCTCTAAGCTCGAGAAGGGGGATCACGAAGCAGATGTCATCGCATTCCTTAACCTCTTTGACCTCGTGGAGAACTCTACGGCGGAGGATGCACTGCTCAGCGTCTTCAAATCTCGTGCGGATATACTCGATGGTCTCGAGTTTGGTGGTAAGATTGCTGTTATCTAGGTGTATTCTACGCTGATGACTTGTAGACAAATATTGGGATGACATGACTCCCGAGAAGGCCTTCCTTGCACGCGTCTTCGTTGACCACTGTGTTGCTACCAAAGACGACCGTCGCCTAGAGGCCGCGCTTCCCGTGGTGACTGCACTTGCCTTCCGCATCCAGACCGCATACAATCATCTTGTGGATGAAATTGAGGCTGGAGAACAGGAGATGCTCCTGCGTGGCGACATCGACGACGAGGAAGAAGAAGAGCTGCGGGCGAGCCGCGAGGAGGCGCAGCTCAGCCAAGAATTCATCATCGGCGAGATGCTCAAGATGTCTGACAACCTCGACTATGCGGATGAGATTGGAAGGCGAAAGATGTTCCAGCTCGTTCGTGAGTGCTTTTGATGATCTGACGCCGAGCTCTGCTCATTTCGGGACAGGTGATATGCTTTCGCAGGATGTCCTTCCGGAGAGCCTTGTCTCGAGGTGCTTGGACGTTTTGCGCACGCTGTCGCCCAATGAACGCGACCTAATCCGCGTTGTCGTGGAAGTGATACATACTCTTCGTGATCCGTTTGAAGACCCTGCAGTGAGGATATTATGTGCTAGTTTTCCTGTGTATGCTGATATTGCCTGTAGTCGCAGCAGGGCATCAGTGCCGACGATAGCACGTCCACCATTGCAGACACTCCTGCCACGGTCCGTACTGCGCGCGCGGCCCCGAAGCCAGCAGAAGAGATGCCTCCCGAAGAGCGTGCCCGCGCAGACACTATCGATCTCCGCTGTCTTGCGCTGTGCATCGGCATGCTCGAACGAGTCAATGGCGTGCGTCCGCTGGTTCAAACAAGTTTTGAAGTCTGACTAACATGAACGCGTCTAGACATTCGAGGAAAACTCGACGTTGGAAGGTATCCTCGGCGAGCTGATCATCCCAGCTGTCAAGCGACGCGAGATGCTCCTACGCGAGCGTGGGCTCGTGAGCCTCGGGCTGTGCTGCCTCATCGCGCGGCGCATGGCGCTCAACTCGTTCCAGCTCTTCGTCAGCCAGGTGCAAGCGGGCGTGCCCGAGGTCCTGAAGCTGCGCGTCCTGCAGGTCATTCTTGATATCCTCATGGCGCATGATAAGGATTTTTTGAGCCTGCAGAGTCCATATGTGCGTTTCGTATTCCGAGTATACGTGCATTTCGGCTGACGGGATGTGCAGCTTGAGAAGATCATTGGGTTCCTGATGAATACACTCAACACGGAAGAGTCTGACAAGGTCCTGGCGTTAATATGCGTCGGCCTGTCAAAACTCATGCTCTCGGGCATGATCTCGGACGACCGGGTATGTCGTGATGTCTTTTGGACGCTCGTGCCGAGCAGTTAACCTGTGGTCGTTTCAGATTCTCCGCGCTCTTATCCTCGAATACGTGTCACCAAACTCTGCGACGAACCAAGAACTAAGACAATGTCTCTCGTACTTCTTTCCAGTTTATTGCTACTCCTCCGCGGCCAACCAACGACGCATGCAGAAGGTCTGCCGTTGAGGTTATCTTAACAAGCCATGGTACTAATGCGGGTTATTGCAGCAATTTATACCCATCTATGAAGACCTGAACAGAGTATACAACGAATGCGATGGTGATGAGGATATGATCAGCCCTACGCAGGCGTCTTTAATGATCGTCGACTGGACAGACCCTCAAAAGGCAGTGTGAGTCATCACAGTTATCAAAGACTCCTGAGGCGTGGCTCTGACGATGCTTTAGCGCGGTAACCCAGCAAGCTCCCAGGCTGAAGGCAGATGAGAGCATACACATTGACCTGGCGAGCGACATCATCAAGGCGCTGTTCAGTGAGGACCTCGAGAGTAAGTCGCCATCCCCACCTGAACGATTTGAGCTCATTGTTTGCATCTGGATATAGAGGAGGACAAGAAAGCATTATGTCAGTTGCTTGGCAAGCTTTATATACCAGACGAAGTCGACGATGATAAGATTCGTACGCTCAAGTTGCTCATGATCACCCTTCGCACTGTATGCTCTTCTATTAATGCTCATTCATCACTTCCTGACCACTTACGCAGCGCCGACCCCTTCGCGACTCCACTACCAAGAATACGTTCAACAAATTTCAAGCGCTCATCGATAAGAAGTTCGAGAAGCAGCTCGCCGACTTTGACGAGGTCGAGTATCGGCAGCTCGAATACTTCAAAGCAGTCTTCGAATTTCTCGACGATATCACACCGGACTCGGACTGGGACGACGATGAGGCTGCAGTCAAGAAGCGTGGAGGCAACAAGCGTCGCAGCGAGAGCGTCGTGTCTGATACTACGGCATCATTGAGTGCCGCCAGCGATGTTGAGGCGACGCCCCGCGCGCGGAAGGCGAACGGGAAGAGCAAGGCTAAGTAAGTGCCTATCGTTCGCGCTGAAGGATCGCGAGTTGTTGATGAACGAACGTAGGCGCAGACGCATATCCGAATCCGCGGACGAGTCTGAGACGAGCGCCGTGGAGACGAGCGGCACCCGTACGCCACCTCCGGAAGCGCCGAGTCGAGTGCTGCCTCGCCGGTCTGCGTGAGTGCTTCTAGTATCCGCCGTTCATGGGAAAATGTGAGCTAATCTCGAGTTCTAGAGCGAAGAAGTCTATGGCAAAAACGTCGAAGAATCTCACGATCCCGCCAGCAAGCGAATCCGAGGAAGACGAGCTTGACGAGTCTGAGGATGACGACGACGGAGACGACGAAGAAACCCCGGCGCCGAGTCGCACTCACCAACAAGTCCCGCAAAAAGTTAGCGTGATGAAGCTGCCTTCTCATGACGCTGAGTCTGTAGCGAATTCTGACGAAGACGAGGACGCAGACGAGGTGGACGACTTGCTGTGATCCCGCGATCTCAGACTAGACACACTCCATTGGCCGTAACCTATCTCTCTGTCTTTTCCCTATCTTATTGTATAGTTTTGTAGTTATCCTTGCTTGATATACCGTATCATTTTTGGTTGGCCTTCTGGAGGCTTGAACCAGCCAGTCACCTTAAACTTATCGTCTCCAGCAAATTTCTTGTGAGGTTCTGATATATTTTCTGATACACGAAAGTTCATTCAAACTCGTCGCAAATGCACCCATACAAACATGAGTTGAATAGCGGACTACGTGTCACAATACCAGGGCTGACTGCGTCTGGTCGTCGTCAACGGCCGCTAACAGCTTTGGCACTAGCTCCTGGTCTGGACCAGTGATGAGCCCGTCGGCCTGCAATGCCTCAAGTGCGCGGAATAAACGCAGATACATCTGGAAATTGCGTGCGCTGATGTCCGCGTACAGGAAGTGTCGATATCGACTGTGCCAGAGACGAACTAGCCACGGCAGGTGGAAATAGCATCCACAGTTGGGGATTTTCCACCGGAGAGCGTACTCGGCCGCATGCGCCATCTTTTGCAAGATCGGAAATGTGTGCTGGAGGACTTCTGACGGGTCGATGCGGAGATCGACGTGCAGGAGCCATTCATAGGCAAGCAAGACAAATATGTCCAGGTCTTCGGGGTTGTGATCATGGATATCGCCCTTGTAGTAGTCCTGAATCAGTCGTGCATAGTCTAGCGCAGACATAGGACGGTTTCCTAGAATAACTGGAGCATTGTTCAGGACATGCGTGATACAGGACACGAGAAGCTTTACCTGATAGCTGTCTGTCATCCGAGGTGACCTTCGCGAAGCAACATGCAACCATGAGAGCAGAAGACCGGAGGCCGGGCAAGGCTGTGTCAACCAGCTGCGCGCTCTCCTTCCGACAGAGCAGCTCGCGAATGCCATGCAGATGGCCGTCGCGAATAGAAAATACCCTGCTCGTACTCATGCATGCCAGTACACAGAAGAGCCTCTCCAAGGCGATGCGACCGAAGACGGGAAAGGTGGGGCGTTCCATATCCGACTCAGACACAGATAGTAGGTTGGCGACTGCAGATTTGAGGTCCGCGGCGACGAGGTCGGCGAGGAGAGGTGCGTCGTCGGCAGGGACGCCGAGGTTGACTGCTCCGTAGTGAATTCGCTGCCTGGTCCGCACGATGTTCCGCTGTTCTCCGAGAATGTTCAGCCGCTCGAGCACCCACATATCCCGTACCTGCCGCTGGACGGCAATAGCCCCGCAGTCATCGTTTTCAGTTGCGATGAGGGCCCCTTCAGGGTGCCGAATGGCGCCGGCCTGCAGCGCCCACAGGATGCACCAGTCCGTGACACTGTGCGTTCCGAGCGTATCGACGTTCTCTGGGTACTGGGCGTGGATTGTTTCCACGCTCTGCATGACGTACTCCCGCACGCGCAGGTCCTGCGATGCCTTGTGCACCCACGAGAGTGCCCGGAAGAGCAGCGAGACCTCGGTGAGATCTTTGAGCAAGGATATAGGAGAGGACACTACGGCTAAGCTCTGGTGCGCCGCATCGAGCAGGGCACCGTCCTTGCTGAGACCAAGCCTCTCTGCAGCCAGTGCACGGCGGACACCGCACCGCACTTCGTGCGAGGCTTGCCACAATGGGTGATGCACGGCCTCAAATCCCTCCAGCATCTCCTCGCGCTCCCTCCAGCTCTGCAGTCTCCTGGGATATCGGACACCGACGGTGCGGAGCCTCCAGTGCCCACGTCGTACGCTCCGCGTGAACTCGGTAACAAAGTGAACAGGATAAGCCATGGCAGTGGTGAGGGCGTCGCAGAGGACGATGCACGCCCACGCCGTCGGAGATTTGTACGGACAGTGTCTGAAGATGACTGGCAGGACGGTGAAGGCGGAAAAGAGGCCGAGAAAGAAAGTAATTGCCGCCGTGACAACGATTGCGACGACGGTGTCGAGTGTCCACAGTAGAACTACGATGCCCACGAAGAACATGATCATTGCTAGCTCGATTAACACGGGAATAGACGAGATGATTGCGGCGACGTGCCAGTCCTGCAGAGCCTCGTACCGTAGCTGGCGAAGCAGGACGTTCTCGCGCGGTGCACCCAGGGTAGAGTTCCACTGCATGTACTCGCGCAACCATTGCTTGACCAAAATTCCGAAGAGAGCGGCAGATAGGCTGAAGATAAGGCTGAGGAAGAGGAGCGAGTTGATGCAACGGACGGCGGTAGACGGGACAAAAGACGAGGCGCCTGGAGGCGCAGCAGGAGTGGTGCCGGAAGATGACTGGCCAGGCGGTGTGGTAGCTATCTGAGACGAGATAGTGCCGAGGAGCTGGTTAGTTGTCTGTCCCGTGTCTTCCTGCAGCATCGGATAGCACTCTACCACGAAGGCAGTGAGGACCGCAGAGAATAGACCTGCCTGCACGGGCGCGAGGATTAGCAGACGACATACCTTTGGCGACAGAACCTTACAAAAACTAGCATGGTGTCTATATCTTCGGCGTAGTCCTTCACTTTTCCACCGTCGTGTCTCTGGGTGTAATCTTCAATTGCGGCCCAGCCGATCAAGTTGTTTTCATCCTGCCATAAACATTAAAGATTAACTTAATACCTGCAGCGAGGGTGGATCGGACTACTTACATCTCTTGCAACACTCATAGTAGGATGGTAGAATGGAGATAGCCCAATGGCATAATGGAGACAGCTTCAGATAACGCCATCCCTCACAGTGGGCAGCGCTGTTCACATCATGATGATCGTTGTTAGGTACTTGAAATGTCCTTTGTTATTCTTCAGTAATGTGTAAAGTTCTCACGGTCAGTACACCACGCACGCGACTTGTCACGGCCGTGACCCGGCGCGATAATTCAGCACGCGCCGTCCTCAACCAATTTCTCTTCCACCGCCATGTCTACCGCTCCGCACGACGAGTATCAGTACCTCGACCTCATCCGCACCGTTCTAGAGACTGGCGACGTGCGCCCTGACAGGACGGGCACGGGCACGCTCTCCGTCTTTGCGCCTCAAAACCTCCGTTTCTCGCTCGCGGATTCGACGCTGCCGCTGCTGACGACAAAGCGTACGTTCATGCGCGGCATCCTCGAGGAACTTTTGTGGTTTGTGCAGGGCGCGACAGACTCAAAACTCCTCTCAGAGAAGGGCGTGAAGATCTGGGATGGGAATGGTTCGAAGGAGTTCCTCGAGAAGCGCGGTTTGGGGCACCGCCGCGAGGGCGATCTCGGGCCCGTGTACGGCTTCCAGTGGAGGCACTTTGGGGCGAAGTATGAGGATTGCGAGACGGATTATGCGGGAAAGGGGGTGGATCAGTTAAGGGAGTGCATACGGAAGATCAAGGAGGATCCCACGGATCGCAGGATCATCCTAAGTGCTTGGAACCCCGCGGGTGCGTCGCCTTACGCCTTGTCACAATGTTATTCTCACATGCTCCGCCAGACATCCCCCAAATGGCGCTGCCGCCGTGCCACATGATGTGCCAGTTCTACGTGCACCTCCCCGTCGCGCCGTCCGAGAAACCCAAGCTGTCGTGCTTGTTGTACCAACGCTCGGCGGACCTCGGGCTCGGCATCCCGTTCAACATCGCGTCGTACGCGCTGCTCACGCACATGGTCGCGCACGCCACAGGCACAGAGGCAAAAGAGCTCGTCATCCAGCTCGGCGACGCGCACGTCTACCGCGACCACGTCGACGCGCTAAAGCTCCAGCTCGAACGTGCGCCGCGCCCGTTTCCGAAGTTGCGCTTCAAGCGCGACGTCGCAGACATCGATGACTTCAAGGCGGAGGACTTTGTCGTGGAGGGGTACGACCCGCACCCGAGTATTGCGATGAAGATGAGCGTGTAGAGTTGGGACGGAAGGTGAGAATGTACCAGTCAAATTTGCATCTACTAGATATGACTATCGATACCGCATGTCTAAGTTATATACCTTATATCTCTTCGCATACATAATGCAGCTCCCTCATCGTATCATAGTACGTACAGCTCTTTCCGCCCATCGCACTTGGAAAGCACATATCTCTCCTGTAAGAAACTACAACGCAGTTGGGAAGCGAAGCGTTAAAGCAACCGAGGAGAGCAGTTGATCAGTTTATCTTGCACCGCAAACAGCTTCAGAAAGTGGCTTCAGACGCGGCGGTACTCGAACATGCTGCCGCATCTGCTGCATGAAGTGCATGCTTGGCCCGATGAAGGGCGAATAATGCCTACATACCGACATGTAGAAGCGTTACCATGTCCGCGATGTTCGTGGTTCGTGGTTGAAACGTTCAACTGTTAGAGTACGCGGCGATAAATCTGATATACCCAGGCGTCAAAGCCTCAACAAGGTCTCTCATGAGGCGCCTCTCGCACACCCAGCCAACCGGCTTGGAAGGTTGGCGCGTTCTTCCCATTTCTCGTTTAATTTCTATGTCGCAAAATCCGAGATTGCCTCATGAGATAGCCTGAGATAGCTGCCTCGAGCTGCCTCGGCACTTCCGGCTGAAGCCTCGTGATGCCATCATGAGTGCTCTCCCAGCCAATGAAAAGCCTTTGCGGGCACCTGTGAGAACAAATACCCTTCCGGGAAGGCTTCCCACGGTTAATCTAGCTCCCTCGGGCTCGCTCAAGCGCTTCTCGTGTGAATCTCGCGTGAGCCAGCGCTAGTCATGAGGCATCACGCGCATCATGTTGCCTCATGGGTTGGCGTTAAAAGCTGTGACATTCTCTTCTCTCAATTTTTTCTGCCCGTGCGTAGCACAGGGCGCCCTCTCGTTAGACATATGGAGCAAAATTATACATGACCTTGCATGCGAGGTTCATACAACAAAGAGCGGATGTAGTGATAGTCCGGCCGTCTACAGCAACAAGTGTCCAAAGGGTCCTGGTCCGTCTAACATACAAAAGGGGGTAAATAGTATAAAAAATACAAAAGGTGTGCACATGATATCGCCGATAAGAGACGTGTAGTGTATAACGGTACGCATAAGCGGTCGTGAGAGAGCGTGCACGTCATGCACGCAGACTACTCCGCGCCACCGAGGGAGCCACCGAAGAACGCTGCGCACGAAATGATTAGAGACAGGAACCTAAGCTGATATGCAGGGAGGAGGCACGCACCGTAAAAGGACGCGTACTTGACGCTGATGTCTTGCGACTGGCCGAACTCGCACGTCGGGGGTGGCTGTCCGCCGACGGTGCTCGTGCGTAGGACCTCGTCCGCGATCTGACCACCAGCCTGACCGCCGATGTTCACAACATCAAGCCAGTTGACATCCTGCACTTTGTTCGGCGCAGGAATGCTCGCCTTGCCTATCGCGACAACGAACGCGTTGGGTTGATTTTGAAACTTGCGGTTTCCCAACGATTCGAAATTCCACTCAGGCGAGACGCTGCCGGCCCCCGACGGATTGGGGACGAAGAAGTGCTGTGCGAGGATGTCTGGCGGATTGAAGGAGTTGGAGGCTGCAATGAAGTCTTGGATCGAAGTAGCCTCATCAGTCGTGTTCCACGAGTCGAAGATCAGCTGTGGGAGCTGGTCAAACCTGGTCGAGTTGATGAGACATGACACGTCGATAAGCTCGGCAACAGCGCCGACATTCCTGTGTGCCAGGTCAGGGTCAAATAGAGCATCTCGAGCAACTGTAGCACGTACGTAAAGTTGTTGTTCTGCGTGCACGTGTAGTTCTGCACTCCGAACCCAAGCCCGACGAAGTTGAACGTGAGGTTCGACGGAGGCGCGATCTGATTGTTAATCGGCGTGAAGTCGAGCCTGCCGGCGTCGTTTGAGACATCGCACTGCGTGAGTGGCGTGCGAATGATGTCTATCTGCGGCACAATAGAGTTGCCCGCGGCGGCGGCGAGCGCGCTGTTAAGTACGTGCTTGATGGCGACCATGGCAAGTGTTGAATACTAGTAGAAATAAGAGCCGTGAACAAATAGAAGGCTGCTCTAAAGAGAAGGGGAATGTTAATAAGCCCATCGCCCGAGGCTTTTATTGGGTAGGCCAACAGTTGCTGACTAACAAAAGGCACAACATGTAGGCCCTCCGCGCATGGACAATGCAGAAAATTTCATGATGCGAAATGTCTCACAATAAGTCCTCAGGTCGGCGGCGCTGTTTCAGCGGCGCACAGGAAAGGCATAGCCTCTTATGATAATGTGCACATCCCGCATCCAGTTCGGGACGGGGCGCGACTGGACATCATCTCCAGTGGTGCATCCAGTCGCGTATTCAACCGTGGGAGCCATTGTCATGATTGGCCCCTCCAGGTCAACAAAGTAATTGTGAGTGTGCCATTGTGACAGTCAAGTAAGATAAATAATGCCCGGCTATCTGTAAATAATACGTCAATTCAATTTCGGTTATCCAAGACCACTGCCCCCCAGATTGTATCATGCCGGTAGCCCAGGGCCGGGATGTTAATTCACTACTACAGACCGGCGTTCCATGATCTGTGTAAAAAATCATCGCCTGTGTGGCTTGACACAAGTTTCACAGTGCCCGAGGCACCGCGGGCACCGCAGCATTTATTCCTTTCTGGGGGGATCAGCCAATCACAGCAATGGTTCCCACGGATGCGTGAGATGTAGTCCAGTTCGGCGGCGCGTCCGAGCCTCCGAGGTGGGAAATGGGCGCCTAAATATAATAGGCACGTGGCATTTCCTGGGATATTGGCTAAGTTAGCTTACGTTGTCCGTTTGATGCCCGAAGGCCTCTCGCAACCTGGACGAACATGGTGTACCTTACAGCGGTACTTAGAACGATAGACACCCCCCGGGCAAATTACAGCATACGGAGTTCGAAAGCTCCGCAAGCGCTAGTGCGAACGAAGTGAGATGAAGTGGTAATCCCGCCGTCACCTGACCCACCCATTGCACCGCGAGTACTCATCCCATAGTTTTCAAATGATTGTACAGTATTGGGTGGGCCTCAGATATATTATAATCCTTGGTAATTTACAAGAAAAGCTTCATATGATATGCCATCTCTAAGACAATTGTGGTGACTGTAGCGATGGACACTGAATGAGGAGGGTGCAACACGCGTGATTGAGAAATGCAAGGCAGGGACTGACGGGGAGGTCAGATGCCTCAGGACGCGTCTCACTTCGTTCGCACTAGCACTTGCGGAGTTTTCGAACTCCGTATGCTGTAATCTGCCCGGGGGTGTCTATCGTTCTAAGTACCGCTGTCAACCCTGCTACTGGAGCGCAGTTTGCACGGTCGGTCTCAGGGCTAAGAGAGGCTAAGGACTTTCGAGGAGCTGCTTGCTACCGAGTGATCTTATTGAGCCTGGATGGCCGTGATCTATTCCAAGTGTTTGAACACGAAGCAGAAGAAAGCAGCAGAAACTTGAGCGCGGGGTGGGGCGGGGACCGAATCTAAGCTTCATGCTTCAACGATTGTACTGTAATGGCCTAGTGCAGTGCGCGGCGGAGTCGGCGAGGTTCGAGCTCGAGCGTCTATTAGATCCTGTACAGGGCTGCGCTGCAACTCAAGCATTCGTCGCCTATCCTGCGAAAATGTTCGCGCCTGCCGCAGTCTTCGTTCTCGTCCTCGCGCTGCTTGGGAGAGTCATACTGAATCCTGCAGTCACTGACAACGATCTTATTCTAAGTGAAAGCAAGACGGCGCGTGTCCTGTTATTGACAGCGCACCCGGACGACGAATGCCTCTTCTTTGCTCCGACGGTGTCGTCACTGCTCACACCGCCTTCTACCTCACACTTGTCAGAGCGCAATGTAGAGCTTTATTCGCTGTGCCTATCCATAGGCAATGCAGGTGGCCTCGGAGAAGTCAGAAGGGACGAGCTGGCACGCAGCCTCAGTGTCCTCGGCATCCCAGAAACTCGAAGGTGGCTCGTTGACCATCCGTAAGCGTCGTGCTTGTCCCCATCTCGAGTTGATCTCAGCCCTTCAAAGCGAACTGCCGGATAACATTACTCGTTCATGGGACGCGGATGTCATAGCTGACACCATCAAGCCTTACGTGCTGGCGAACAATATCACCACGGTGTGTAGACCGCGACGTGCTGAACCATGCCTGAAAATCTCAAGGCTTCCCCGACAGATTCTTACATTTGATCGCGACGGCATTTCATCGCATCCTAACCACGGCTCTCTCCCTGCCGGAGCGGCCCGTCTCGTCGCTTCTCTGTCAACAGCCTCCCCGACAAGGCCACCGCCACGACTTTTCAGCCTCATCACCGTCCAGCTGGTGCACAAATACATCGGCCCCCTCTCTGCTGTACTGGCAAAATACGATCTCATCTTCGCTTCGTTGTTACGCCGCTATGGCATGGACAGCCCGCGCCGCATGCCCGTATTCATTTCGGGCATCGAGGGGTACAAAACGGCACTCCGGGCGATGATGCAGCATCGCTCGCAGCTGGTGTGGTTCCGCTGGCTGTATGTCTCATTCTCACGCTACCTGTGGGTAAACGAGTGGGTACAAGTCGTCCCGCCGACCCATACCGCTGCTGGTGATGATCCGAGCCCCGTCCATGCAGCGTAAAACGCATGACCTTATGTAATACACTGGTACTGTTTTAGCTTATACGTCACCTGTATGCGGCCGGTCGTACGCTCGGACCTCGAGATAATCACGCATCTCCTAGTGCATACCTTCCACTTTGCTCCAACGTCATGACGGCCAGACGAGATTATTTGGTTTGAAACGAGAGGTGCGAGTGAATTACGAGGCCTTTAAGCTATTGCATACACTCTGGTGAGCCAACGTCCCAAGCAGCTATGGATACACAGTCCGTCGTAAGGCAAAAGGGCCAGTGATAATACAACAGAGAATCCAGTACTGTGGCTTGGCAAGGTCCAAGAGCCGCAAATATGAGAAGACGGGGTCAATGTGGATCATAACTGCGGATGCATGACCACGATCAAGCCCCCATCGTTCAAGCCATTGCCGGGCTTGGCATGCTTGGCGAGATCCAGCGTCGGCGTATCCAGATAGCAGGTCTTAGTTCGTACCAGCGTGGTGGCACTCACCATGACCAGGCTGAAGTCGTTGGCTGCTCTGCCATGCCCTGGACTCCTGCTAAACTCCTGAGAAAGCTTGGAGATTGCACCAAGAACGTGCTAGAGGCTTGTCAATCAGGAAGAGCCGGCGTACTGTTCTACGGGACTTCGGTCTGGTCTGGTGTAGTCAGGGGAGCGAACAGCGCCTGTGAGGCTGTCAATGTCCTGGAAAGCGACGGTGTGGAAGGAAGTCGGCTCGACGAAGGGGTGGAGGCGGTGGAACCACTCTGAACACTGGCCGAGATGCCCTGAGCTTTGACCTGTAGTATAGCTTCGCGCATCAAGCGCTCCGCTTCCTGGACGCACAGGAGTCTTCGTACCGCCTCAGGCTCGACGACCTTGACGAGCTGCAGACCGTCGCCTGGAAATTGTGCGTCGGCCACGACAAATATCTCGCTTTGCGTGCAGTGTATGTACTCTAGGCGCACGTAGGCCTCAATAACTTCCACCGTGATATCGTCCAAGGTCAGCTTAGGGATCCCGTTCTCGCAAGACGAGTCTTCTACCCGCTCGGGAGTTATGTTCGCGCTGGGTGAGTCTTCCACGGACTCAGCAGGCTCTACCGGATCAGATACGGTCGGAGACATGCCGACGATGTTCTCCTGAGTGAGGCCTTCCTGATCATCGGCACCCTCCGGTGAATACAATTGAGCTAGGGTGCCGGCGCTGGACGTTGTGTCGGGGATGTTGGAAGAAAACAAGGTGATGCCGGCCGTTGTCGCCGAGCCGTACACCCACGAAGCCTCTTGAGTCTCCTCAATGAGCTGTTTGTACGCAGCAGAGTCTCCCAGTGATATCGCCACTTGCATACTCTCTGGGAGGGCTTGAAGCAAAGCTACGTCCTTCTCCTGCGGGACTCCTCCCGCCAACGACATGGCCAGCCATTCTAACACCCCTTCCGACAGGACCATCGACCATATGGACATTCCGTCGTCAGTTTGTCCGACTCGCCGCACGAGTAAGCTAAACGCCAGTTCGTAGTCGGCATAAGGGCCAGATACCTGTTGCACGCCTAACGCTTGCCGCATCGCATCACCAAGCTGTTGGAGCTCTTCTGCGGTCAGAGTGTCGACGAATTGGGCCATCGCTTCAAGAGACAGCCGGTCCGCGTCCACCATGAACGTTACTGGATCGTCAAACACACCAGACGGCACTTGCGGCGAGCTCACATTCGGAGTACTGAGGTCTTCAGCGCGGAAAATATTCTGCGTTTCGACACCTTCGTACCAGCTAGACTGGGACTCTAGCGGTGCACCTTGTGCCGCGCAGCTTGCGTCCAGCAGAGACGCTGGCATCCCCGGGTCGAAGGCCGCGGGCTGAGCGTCGGCCTCTGGTCGAGACTGCGCGACCGCAAACTCTTGAGCAGGCTGTGGAAAGGCTCCTTGTGCGCATGCAGAGGCATATTCATCAATCGACCCATACGCGTCGCCCTGGACGGAGAATGACCGAGCATCTGAAAGCGAGGCTTGCCACACTGGAGAGCCCGCTTCGGGTCGGAAAGACGCGCTCACCCCCAGGTCGGCTTCAAGTTGTGGAACAATGAGATTTATCTGGGGTGCGGATTGGTCGAAGACGCTATCTGTGACGCCCATGGTAGAATACGAGTCGAAGGATACGAATGGCGTATACTCGTTCATCATGACGGTTTGGGCCGATGGTGACTGCCAGAGCGGCGTCTTAGCAAAATAAGATGCTACCGCGAACTGCGCTTGTGGATGGAAAGCCGAGAGTGCAGGGAGAGCAGCCTGTTCATAGGATATACTGAAGGGTTGCATGGGCTGCGAGGTCGTCAAGGGGGTTTGAGCAGCTTCCACGTCCGTGTTGGAGCAGACAGCTCCAGACGTGGGGGTTGGAGCAGCATTGCTGACAGGCAGGCTGACGATAACTTCCGATGCGCCGTCGCATTCCGGGGAACGGGAAAGTTGAGAGGGTGTTTGGGCGGAAGAAAACGATATGGATGCAAGGGTTACTGCCTCAATAACAGGTACCGAGACCTCGGTAGAGACGCTGGGCAGTTTTACGGGTGGCACTGAGGGTTGCTCGGTCAAGACATGAAGACCGGTTTGCTTGAGGTCGTCCCCGTAACAAGCTCCAGGGTCTCTGCTATCAACTTCCTCCTGACGATGGCTATGAGAGACCTCGGAGCTCCTCCTGTTAGGAGCTGGCTTTCCTTTAGGTGCTTCCTGTCCTCCCACGCCTTGTAGCTGCCCCCTGGAAGAAGACGGACTGTGATGATTATCCTTTTCAGGGACGTCTTCCTTCGTTCCAGGATCAAAGCGTACCCTTCTCCCCTTGTCCCGAGGACGCTGGTTGTTCTTCATAGCACATTTGAGAATAGAGCGCAGGCGCACAGTATCGCGGTCCGATCCTGTTCCTCTTAGCAAAAGACTGTCTAAAGCGCAGGCTAAGTCTTCTGCAAGGACGTTAGTAATATTTACGAGAGGGGAAACAACCCTACTTGCTGTCAATGGAGCGCTCCTCCTTTCTTGTCTTCGTAGACGATCTGTCGTTGTTGGCTCTGTTGAGCTCGGCTACCGTTTGTTGGACACACTTCATTTCGCGACTGCGCCGATACTGAGTAGTTGATGGACCGCGGTCGAGACGTGGGCGGGAAGGGCGCGAGACCAGATTGTCGCGGGAGATGTACAAGGGGAATGTTCCTGCTGGTCGAGTGCCCTTGGCGTCGATGCGATAGACGTGGCCGCTCGAACGTCGCCCCGAGCCCGAGAGTTTGCGTAACTTCTCCACGGTTGGTGGTTCGAGCGGTGGGTAAGCCTTCAGGGGCTTCGGGGGCGTCGGCCTCTCTGCTGTTTGTTGTGGAATTGAGCGAGGGATCTGAAGAAGCACCGGCTTTGCGTCGTTAATGTTGGGCATATGCGGTGACGAGGGGCGTTCACCCCAATCAAGTTGGTTGGAGGTGGCGGACGGCCCTTGGGTAGCTCTCTTGTCAAGCAAGTCAATTATGAGTTGATCATGTGTGTATCCTAAAAAAAAGTTCGAGTAGTGCATTTAGTGCTTTGCGATCAGTGTTATGCCAAGTGGATTTACTATGTGTACCATTAGACGACTCCCCATGCTCTGTTTCGTTTATTCCAGGTACTAGAGGGCGGTGCCCGTCCCAGGACGGCGAACACGGTGGTGGCTCTCTCCCTTTCCCCTTGTTCTTGGAGCAAAGGCCGGAGCCACTCTGCAAAGGTTTAGGAGCCGAGGCATGGCCCATAGTTGTACTCAAATCATTGTCCGAGTCACTACCGTAGTTCTGGTGCTCTCGCCGTTGTAGGAGGAGAGCTTGAACTGATACCGATGAAGGATCCATCTCTTGATAACCAGTCGAGCCCTATCATAGTGTCAGTATTCTATGAGACGGTGTGAGGAATGCTTGGCGCATCGTATTATTACCTTGAGATAAGAGTCTTCGCCTGTTGGTCCGCGCTGCTCTTTCTCATCTTGCGCATCTTCATGTGTTTCCTTTAATGCCTCCTCATCGCCTTCCTCTACTCTGTCTTCCACTTCTTCGTTCTTATCTCCCAGACCAGTCTCTTCGTCTACATGCCCGCTCGACGAACCTCGGTTCTCCCTATCTCTTTCGCCACGCATACCACCAGGAGGAACGCCGCTAGACCCTGCAGTGTCTGAGATGCCTTCGGAATGTGTGTCATCGTATTTCCGACCACCTGCGCCACATCCTTTATCTTCTACTGTCTGAGCGCTATCGGCCAAACAGACGTTGCTCATAGACAAGACGACTTGTTCTAAGCGAGTACAGTTCCGTTTCTTCAGAGGGCGACCGTCTGTGTCTTCCTCATCGTCGGAGGGAGCGCTACGTAAAAAATTTCGTCAGCTAGCACACGATAACGAGTGGCCTCGAGTGGCCTACCGCTTCCGTAATATTCGAGCGTCTATCTCGTGCACGACTCGAACTGCAAAACCCAATGAATGAGCGACTCGGAATGTCAACTGACAGGGCCTTACGATTCTGTTGTTTCCAAACGAGAGAGACTTTGATCTTCCCCCGCGTGGGGAGCACGCGAATTGGACGCATGGAATTGAGTACGCTCATGGATAATTGTTAGTTCCCTAATCCGAATTTTGAGGGCAGTAAGTAGTCGTGCCGCGCCACGGTTGGCTTTCAAATTGCGTGCACAAACTGTGGCGAGGAGTTCTTGTTGAAGTTGGGGAGATGGGATAAATCAGGGAAACGAGCAGCCAATATTCACGTGCGTTCTGAATTGTTCTCGGTATCTAGGAAGGTTGTGGTGACGGGACAAGAGGCATGAGGGACCGAGCACGGAATGATCATATAGTAGCGCCGAGGTCGCCTTGCATCTGAGCCACTCGATCCGAATTTTGAGGCGAAAATTGACTCACATCGCTGATCCGTCTATGGCTGTACAATAGCCTGTCTGACAAAATTCTCAGGCCCCAAGATCCCAGCTTGCCCTAACCCAGATAAGGCGGCTTTGAGCGCCTATCCTGATACAGTTCACGCCAGGATCTCTCCAACGACACACCGGATTCCGTAGAGCAAGCATGATATTTAACTACGGTGTGTGACAACACAATAAAAGAAAGAACAAACTGCACAGAAACACCAACTTAGTCGACAATTAAGCTGAAGGGACGGACACATACAACGATTCGAAGCCCTATACCGCGGTTCTATGCGGGTATTCGGAGTGTATCAGATTAAATCGTATAACGAAGATAGGTCAGGCAGGGCAAGATATTCGCAATATGATCCACATACATTGAGATGGAGGACATGTGCCCCGCCGTTCTTACGACGTCCGACTCCTTTACGCCCACATGGCCCTGAATTTCTCGTCGAACTCCTTGGTCACGAGATCTGCAACCTCGAATACTCTCCAGTCGCGGTCTGAAACACCAGGAGGCCGTTTGATAGTTGTGCCATCTGAGCCATTTTCGTCATCTTCTGCCTCCGCGAGATTGACTCCGCCAATGTTCATCTCGTCGTCAAGGTCCGCTTCCGCCGATGATTCGCCACTTGTACTCTTAAGTAAGAGATGCTCAATAGTCGACCGAATTGTTTTCAACGTCAGAGTGAAGTCTTCAAGAAGGTACCAGAGGTCTCCGTGGCGGATACCGTTTGCTGCGACGAGAGTCGCAGGCTGTCCGTGCATGTAGAAGTCCAGTAGATACGCATTCAGCGGCAAGGTATCACTGCCCTGAGGACCCGCCACAAATTGACGCATCGATGGTATGCCATGTTCGTTGAGGTGCAAGCCTGACCTGCATGTTTGAGCAAGCTCAGGCACGGTCCGGAAGGTGTCACCGTGGCCGGAGTTGGCGACGAATGGTGAACGTGCGATGACCCTGATAGAGGTCCTATTGAGATAATCTTCGAAGGCCGACCCCGAGCCGGGCCCCTTCAATTCCCGACCGCTGACCGGCAGACATTCATCGGCGTCAACGGCGTTTTGCAGGCGGTCGGCGAAGGAAATGGCATAGGAGGTGAAAATGCGCAAGATCTCGTCGTCATGTTGTAACAATATTTGCCTTGCAATGGTGGGGATCTCCGGCAAGACAACTTTAGAAGCTGACTTCCGATGCACGGTCTTGGCATGGTGCTCGGATGCGTAGACGGCGGGAAGGAAGCGACGACCAAACAGATGACAAAGAAGGACGAGAAAATCGCGCTTCGCGGACTCCGTGCTATTTTGATTACAGATTTTGTGGACGACGCCGCGACGCATGAGCGTCACCAAGGCGAAGTTGCTAGGCTCCGTGTAGTAGAGGTGCGCTGAAAGTCCGAAAAGGTTGATAGGGTTGCCTCCGGCGTCGAGAAGACGAGACCGGCGCAAGTAGTCGATGCTGAAGCGAACATGGTGAAGAAGTTCTTGTTTGCCAGCCTCGAAGACGAAGCTAACATGAGGCAGCTCGAGCAGGCTTTTGATAGCGTTGACTGCGACTGGTGCGTAATTCGACCCCTGCAATAGATTGAACAGGCGGAGGACCATGGTAGACGTCAGGGGGAAGTTGCCGCCGATCGACGGTAGCCTCGATAAGACTAATCTCTGTACACGGTCCATGGGCAGCCCGTAAAAGACAACCTTGCCCAAGAGATCAAAACCACGGCGACCGGCTGGATGTGTGGGTGGTGAGTCGCGGTCACAGAAGAAGAAATATGTACATACCTCGTCCTGCACATTGGCGATACTAGAAGGTGCAACCATGAGCTATAAAATTTATGTTATGCAACAAGGCTCGCTTACCATTAAGGCGGTGAGGAACGGCGAGTCTCCGACAAATATCGACGTTTTGGTTGGTGCGTTGATACCCAGAGCAAGGGTGCCTACCAAATATTGTTGGTACTTGTATCAAGAACGAATCAAGCGACGTACCCGTAGCAACGACGACTTGAATGTAACCCATGCGGTAAAGACTAAAGAAAAAATTATAAGCGAACGAGCCAACCTTGAATTTCATTTTAAAAAACATACCTTTCCACGGCGGTCCGGTAATGCTTGTTCATACCGGCGTGATGAATACCAATGCCACGACGCAGTGCATCAAGAGCCCACTTCGGCGTTGATGTCCACTTGATGTCCTCGATTGCTTCATTCAGGATAGCCTTTGACGCTTTCTTTCCCACAAACGAGAATTGCGGAGATGGTTCGTCTGGGTCGAACGTAGCCTCCCACGACGGATCGACAGATTTCTCTGGCGGTTCCTCGGCTCCATCCTTCTTCTGCTTCCGCAATTTGTCCTTTTGCTTTTCACGAAGCGCTGCTTGAGACTGCCATTTCTCCCATTGCTGAACCTTGTGCCTCCATTCAGGGCTAGACTGGCGCCACCGTATCTCAGTGTTCTCGAGGGCTTCTAGGAGACGCCTGGTAGCAATCTCGCAAGCCGTGCGGTCAAAATTAAACAGCAGAGCAGGCTTGCAAAAAATATCAGATATAAGGTTAGATGTGGGTAGTAAGACACGTACCAAATCGCCGTTGGCGTGCAGATCACACACCAAGTACAACAAGTTGTCGAATATGTCGTGCACAGATGTAGTAGCATTCCGCTCGACCTCTGAGAGCTCGGAGAGTAACGGGTCTTGCAACTTGCGAACGACCTGGCTTAGGGGTGACGCCATGTCTTGAGTCTCAACGTCGGTGATCATCGACGCCAACCGCTCCTTCAACGCAACCTCATATTCCAGTATGTCCTTCTGCTTCAGTAACGAACCTCGTCTGAAGTACTTGCGAGGGTCAAGAATCTGCAAGTTCGGTGCATCTTCGCCTTCCGCGGAGACGAACGCGTTGAATAAGCTCAGGCAGTCTGCGGACTCAAGGGAAAAGTCGGACGGTAGCGCCCGGGCGCCAAACGATAACAGAGATACGGGGTGCAAGAACCGTAAACGGCCTGTGTTGGCATACAAATCGGTGCCCTGGAATGGTTGTTTTGGTGCGGCCTGGAGTATATAGTCGAACTTGCGAAGATGTGAGTATCGGTGTGGATGGTAGATGAATGTATGCTTGAAGCCGTGGGCCTTCTGTACCGAGGCAAGCCAATTATTGAACTTTTCTGCATCGCCGATTGTGGCAGATAAGCCGCTACGAAGGATATCAGCAAATTGTTGTAATATATCTGCTAAGGTGCTTACACAATTGGACAAGGGGCGAGCAAGATGATCTGCTCCCACACCGCACCACCTTCCTGTTGACCGATGGAATGGATTTCATCAAGGATGATGCTGCCATGGTGTGCAATCAGCTTCGACCCCACAAGACGTACTAATCGGAAACCACACCGTTTAATCCTCGGCGTCCATACGCGCGCCAATTGCGGAGATAGCAGCATGATGGCTAGCATCTCGGGTACGGTCACCAGAATCTGACAGTTTTGCGGGTTGTGAATGCGGTAGTCACGAGTATGAATCGCCCACAAGCTCCCTAAAAGTGGCGTCAGCACAAACCCGCTGGCTGAAAAGAATATGCCACTAACTGCCAACGGCCTTGTACGACTTGTTGAACCGCGCGTACACCTCAGCGGCAATTTGACTGACCAATGCTTTCGTCGGTGCAACGTACACTAAGAGCTCGCCGTCCGATCGTCGCAGGACTTGTTCCATGGCATAGTACGACACGAAGGTCTTACCAGCACTAGTGGGAGCTGCGAATCGCGTCAAAATCAAATATTTCAGGGACAGGCCCTTCAGACTCACCGACAACAAGAACCGAGTGGTTGAGATTCTGATCTTCGTCAACATCGTCGAGGCAGTCCAAGACACGTCTCTGCCACGCATCGGGATTGAACGAAACCCGCGGATCCGGCTGACTATCCATCGAGCGGTCCATATACTCGCCAAACAAACGCAGCTGCCAGACGACAGGGTCCTCTGTGATTTCCATAAACTCGTACATCGCCGCCTTGTTCTTCGAGTGCAAGAGCTTCTTGAACTTGAACGATAGCTTCCGATCTTCCGCGGGCGGACTTGGTGACGTATCGAGCAATGCTGGGACGTAGTCCGCGAAGCCTAGACACTGCAGCACGTTCTCGAGTGCGGCTCGCGCGGTAGGGAAAAGTCTACCGCGCTCTGCGAGGTCCTTCACCATGCGCATGACTGCGACAGAACGCTTGTCGCGCACGCGCGCCTGTTTGGTCTCGTCGCCTGAATCCGCGTCGGCATCTTCTAACCACCGTTGCAACTCAAGGTGGATGCGGAAAAGCCGCATTTCGACAGCAAGCCAACCAGATTCGGCGCGCATCGCGTTCCCGAGCAATCGCTCTATAAGTGAGACCTTCTCGTCCGTGGATAGTTCGTCCATCTTCTCCAGCTGATCCTTCCACCACGTCTCATTCGACTGGTCCTGCGTGCTCATCTTGCGCGCCATGTTCTGTTGGCGAATCTGCTCCGCTTTCGAGATATGAACCTTCTTCTCCTTCCCGCCTTTCCTGGGCTTCTCCGAACCCGTCTCCTGCACAAGCTCTCAGTAAGACATTCAACACGACACGACTAGGTGACTTACGCTGATCGTAGGGGAAAGTGGCGTACTAGGTCTTGTCGAGGCCGGAGTCATCGCCCTCGTCGACGATAGCGGAGTCGCAGGCTTTACACCAGGGATAATCGTAACTCTTTGCAGTGACTTCCCAAACGTGCCTGTCAGGCTCTCTGCCTGCCACTGCAGCTTCGCCGTGAACCGCTGTTCGCTGCGCAGCTGCTTCTTGCGCTGCCATTCGTTCAGCACCGGTAGCTTGTCTTCGCCGCCAAGGTGCTTCGGGAGGATAGCCCGACGGTGGTTATGCCAGTGCTGTGCGTCCTGGAAGACAGTGTTGAAGTCCATTTCGGAATCGCCCACGTCCTCCTCGATCTCGGGTACCTCGATGTGGGCCTCCGCCAACGACTCATTGAAGACTTCGTTGTAGAAGGGCAGGAGTTGGAGAGGCTGAGGATCGGCGACTGCGCTTGCACTGGCATCCTCGTTCAAGACAACTACTGGATATTGTGCGGCCACTGAAGCAAAATCGACGTTCGGTAGCTTATGCTTCGCCCAGAGCGCCTGCAACTCAGTTATGAAGCTGCCACCAAGAATGTCGATGGGGCTAGATGTAGGACGCGCGAGCAAGAAGTGAATCAGATCCCTGAAAACGCGAGTGTCGACGTCCGCATTGGTCGACTGTCCATAACTTGCCTCGTACGCTAGGAAAACGGTCGGCAGGAAGTCTTTTCGCAGGAAGTTGTCCAGCCCTTGATGGTCATCCTTGTACGGTCGGCCTCGTTGTTCAAGGGACAGCAGGGGTAGTAGTATGAGATGGGCAGTGAACGCATACAGGGCAAAAATGGTAAGCGAGTCCTGAAGATCCAGCTTGAGCTTGGCGAGATCCAGGAAGTGATCGAATCTCTGAAAGTCGTTCGCAGCCGACGGTAGCGACGAAGTCGGCAACAAAGATTCTCGTCGCCTCGTGTTTACCTGATCCAGCTTCTGGCGTGCGACACCGACCGCTGCCCAGAATTTCGGAGACAATCGCTGTCGCGCATGCGGATCTAGTCTTTGCTCGTAGATGAAGGAGATTATCTAAAAAGCGGTCAGGTTGCGTCCATTAATTTCATGACCACGAGAATTACCTTGCTATCGCGGAAGGTCGCTCCGCGTAACAGCGAACAGGTCAGGCCTCGGGAAATGAAGTAAAAGATCCTTGTACGTTGGATAAGCTTAACGTCGACTGCTGGAGTAAGATTGACCTCGTGCTCAAGGTCGATGGCGCCGCCGTCATTGATCATGATGTACATCGGCTGGTAGGAAACAATTAAAGATGGTTATGGAGGACATATGCGCTTCATGTACCTTTATAACTGACTGGTGCTTCAGCCACGCTTTATCGTCGATGCTCGCGAACGTATGAACTGGGATATTGAGGCGCTTAGAGTGCTCGATGAGCATCATACGAGCAAGACACCGAGATGAGAAAATAAAGTCATCCGAGCCGCAGTGCAGAGTCAAGTGCCGAGCCTCTAAACAAATGGTTGAGCACGTAATCTTGGGAATTGTTTCGAAACTCACCATCCCAGAAGATGATCTCGAAAACCGCTCCTCGTCTGAGGAAGTTGTTGAGCAGCTTCTCAAGATTGTGTATGGCATGTAGTATCTGAAAGCTGATTTCTTTATCTGCACATCAACATGTCGCAATCACATGCGATATGACATCTTTCATACCGTTTTGGCGGCCAAGGGCAAGGAGTGGGTCATCAAGTGCGAGTTCGAGCAAGGAATCGCCTGCGAGGAGCCTTCAGCACATAGTACAGTGGTCCGACTGATTACATACCATCGATGATAAACAGCTCATTACCAGCGTAGTCTCCGATGAGGTCCATACGCCTCGCACGACGACTGGCCTTCAGATACCATGCCTCGTCGAAGTACGCGAGTGCCGCTGCGGGTGATAGGACGTTGGCATCGACGATGGGGGTTTTCTCCTCGACGAGAAAGTCGAATTCGACATCCATGGCAGATGGTGGCTCGAGTAACGGAGCGCTGGGCGGTATGCTTGACGCAAATCTCGTTCGCAGGAGATTCGAAGGCTCGTGATATTAGAGATCGTCTAGTAGGCCCGCAGTTGTTGCACAAAGCAACGTCAGTTTATATGCAGCAAATGCGGTTCTACTGGATAGTTCTGGCTATACTGTGTAATCGCCGGATGAGGTCTGGAAATTTGCGAGTTGAGATGGGGACAAGAGCGAAAATCAAAAATGTGATCCCAAGTGCTTGCCCTGCGCTTGTCCTGGGCGTCTCCCCAGCTCGTCGCACTCGACGTTCTTCACGCAGCGTCCGATAACAACCATGTCGACCGTGCGCATTGGACGTGATGACTCTAAGCCTTCCCGGCACTCCCATCATGACCATGATCCACTTGGACACCTCCATGTCCAGTATGAGCGTCGGCATAAGATCTCAGTCCCAACTATTCCCGACCTTAGGTTCGAGCACACATATCTCAAGAACATCAGGCAGCACGTACATGTGAAGTACATGCAAACAAAATCAATCTCAGACGTGACCGGAAAGAGCGAAGCGCAAGAGTCCTCCCAGGGAACAGAGGTCGTGCATGTCGCGTGGGGCAAAGTGCTTTGGATAACGGTTAGAGAGCAGGTCATTGGCCCTCTAGCGCAGGGACTGCTATGGTACGCTATCACTCTCATGGGCCATTTTGCAATTCTCTTCAGCTGCTTTGTGTTTGAGTAGGGGTGTACTGCGATGGTATTGCCTACCATCCGCCGCCATTTTTGGGCAGAACTTCCGAGCATGGTGGGACCGCGGAAACACTCTTGCCTCGAGACATAGAGGGAATAGGCAGACGATTGATGGCGTTAGGAACTGGGTGTTTTCGAAGCCGAGCTAAAGGTGCAGTTTCTTCCATACACCTAGACACTTCTCGAATTTGAGAGACTGTTGTTCCATAAGTTCAGATTGATAGGCTCGCGTCCGCCACTTCCAGACCGAAATCCCCCGCTTGACTCCTAAATTGACCCTTGTAGACCCTTGTGTCGCATATCTTGGCTATACAACCCCTAGTGTTGCAAGCTCAGTGCAAGCTTTCAGTTAACTGCGCTCTGAAGGCTCTCCTGGCGCGCATTGCAGACTTCCGCTGCGACCTATTTCGAAGTGAGACTCGCTGCGCATTGACTTGTTAGAGACGCGAGACAAATTCCTTCCTCATTTGTGTAAAAAGAGGCCCAAAAAATGTGGTATCTATCGCAAAAAGAACCGAACTGTTTCTCTAGAAAGGAGTAGTACTAATTCTACGGAGACGGACGGCGAGCGCTGCCTTCCCAATCGGGCAAGCGCGCCCTTCCGCAAACCAGGAGGCATAACGAAGCAGTACGAATGCATTAATAGTCCAGTGAAAATAGTTTTAATGCAGATATAAGTACCACAGACCATTTGTAGGCTTACAGAGCGGCAAATAAACCAAGGATATTCATAGGGCCTTCCAAATCAGCTGTATGTAGCCTACAGCTCACTGGACCACGGAGTAATATTAATCGAGGTGTATGTACTACAATTTACTATGGAGAAGTGGTGTCAACAACACAGCAAGGTTCCAGCCCAGCCAAAGCTGGGTTAGGGTTTAATTGATCGCTTGATCTGGGCCAGCCCATTTAAGCGCCCCCTGGCCATAGCGTGACTTCCCCCTCACGATAGCCTGTGATAGTGAGCTCACAGGAATATATAAGAACGTACTTTACGTCTTCTATTCTTCAGAGCTTCGGACTTAGCATGCTTCACGTCAAGGTACAAGAGGCGGGTGGGATCAATGTTATCAACTTTGCACCATTCCTCGATGGCTCGCGGAAGCAAGAGGTCGCAGACGCGATCGTGCAATCGTTCAAAGACACTGGGTTTGTATACCTGACTAGCCATGGTCTGTCCCAGACCAAGGTAGAGGGCATGTTTGCTTGGGTTTGTTGATCCCTTACATTGTTGTCAATAGCCAGTGGAGCTGACAAACAGTCTAGTCTAGGCGTTTCTTTTCTCAGCCGATGGATGTGAAGATGCTCGCTCCGCACCCCGCCAGTGGATTGCACCATCGAGGTATCTGTGCCTAGGCATGCCCATTTCCGTTGCACTCATCACATTATGACACGCACAGGTTATTCTGCGCCCGGGGTCGAAAAGATTGTCAGAGAAGTGTTTGATCCCAACGAGATCAAGAAGCGCCGAGCACAGGCTCCAGATATGAAGGAAAGCTTCGAATGTGGGCGCGAGGACGATCCGCTCATGCCCAACATTTGGCTACCTGAGGGTATGTTGCCTGGCTTCAAAGAAGCATGCTTGGATTTCTATTGGGTTCGGTGTTTATTAGTACTTCCTGTCGTCGAACAGTTTGCTGACATGAGAACGATGTAGGCCTGCCACAAAGTACTCGAGATAAACTTCCTGCGAGCTCTAGCCTTGGGTCTCGGCGTACCCGAGGATCACTTCGTTCAGGTACACACCAGGGCGGACAACCAGTTGCGACTCTTGCACTACCCCAGGTTTGCTATGTTGGCGCTTATGCTCGCATGGTCCGCCTGACGCAATCTAGTGTGCCGGTCGAACAGCTTAAGAACGAAGAGATCAGTCGCGTCATCGCACACAGCGACTATGGCAGCATAACATTTCTGTTCCAAGACTCCGTGGGTGGGTTGGAGGTGGAAGACCCGAATAAGCCCGGGCAGTTCACAGTAAGCGTATTCGTTGTCTGTCGGATAGGATGCTGACTGTCTGCAGAGCGCTACGCCGGTGAACGGTACAGTGATCGTGAACGCTGGTGACTTTCTGCAGCGGTGTAGGTGCTCGTACCTGGTGGAGACACGTCAGATAGCCTCACTCACTTGGGTAGGGACGAATGACACCTTACGGAGTAGTGTTCACCAGGTCAGCCTTCCGCCCAACCTGACCAGCTCAGATGGTATGACGCCCCCACGCTACTCCATTCCATACGTCAGCCCATTTCTTCTCATTCTACATTGCTCTAGCTGACTAAATATATTGTCGTCATGAGTTCTGTGCACCGGTAATTACTTAGTGCCTTGCGTTATATGCCACGTACTAAAATCTCGCCAGAACTTCGATACTGTCGTTGATATGATACCGACGACATACTCAGCAGAGCGACCGAAGAAGTACGAGCCAATCTCTGTGTGTTATACCTGTTAGGCTCGTTTGAGATTCGTCGGTACTGATCGCCTTGTAGTGCGGACGATACATTATGGAGCGCTTGGCCGCGAATTACACCAGGACGTAGACGCGTCCTTTCATAGTGCTCTAACTTCATGCGACGGCAGGATATCCAGTACCATAGGCTACGAGTAAGCACAACATATACATGTGCAGATACGCTGCCGAAGAATCAAGAAAACCAATGAAAAACCAGATCAGACCGAGAATGAGAGAACTCGGGCGAGGAAGCGGATATGTTGCGCAGCGGTATTGACAAGAGCTGGAAGCAGGAGGGCTAGTAAAGAGACAATGCGGTTCGTGAGAAGTGCGCACCCGAGCGGGTGTTTTCATGAAGCACTGAGAGTGGTATATGGCGTTGCGTTATATGTGTCACTACGGAAGTACTGTCAAAAACCACCCAGACATCCTTCAGTGTCCCTCGAGCCGAGCTGCCAGGTCACTTCTTTCTCCGCAGCTTTTGGAAGGGAAATAGCTGGCATGTCGCAGGTGCGCAGTTAGACCATATGTTCTGCTCCACAGTATCACAGATTTGGCAGGTTACTTACCTATCGTGACGCCGTTTCGAGGAGACATTAGGCCTTCTGATTCATCCGAAGAGGAAGCACCATCAGAAGTGAGAGATGGAGTTCTGTCACTCATTGTAATTGCCTTCATCCGGTTGTACGCGGAGCACCGCGTTTGGAAATAAGCATCGTCTCTCACTGTAAGTTACAGATTATTAGACACGAGCTGATCGGTAACGAAGTTAGCGTCGCTCACTAGCTGGCGTCGTCTCTGCGACAGGGCTCATGCCGGAGCCAGGGACATCCACCAGTGAAGAGCGTTGTTCATCCCTGCTGCTAAGAATTCTACCTTCTGCGGAACTATCATCCTCATCGAAGCTGTCCATTCGAAGACATAGTGGGGGCAGTGGCGTGCCGGGCCGGCACATGTAGAATGCCATCGCCCGGTTGGCGTTGTCTTCGTCGGAGTCGCTCTCCATAGGCGTGTCTACGGAGTTGGTAAAGCGTCGTTGGGGAAGCGAGCATGAGAGGCCACCGGCGAACGCAATATCAGAGCAAGGGGCCACCGTTTTCTGCGAGCCACCGTCCCGTGTGGCGATGTGCTTGAGTAGCTCGGGAGTCTGGCCGTCTAGCTTGGATGTGCTTACAGGTGAGTGTACGGGAGATTCGTCGGGCGAAACTTCTCTTCTGCCACAGTACATGCGCCGTCCGCGCTCAGGCAGAGCCAAAGCCAGCTTTTTGCGACGCGAAACGTGGATTGAGGTGCGGTCGTATTCGTCGCTGCCATACGTCGTGCCAATGGTGCCAGTTTTGCTAGGCCGGACGAAGTGGACCTTCGAATCGAGGACAGAGGAGTCTATAGCCATCAGGTCACTGATGGAGTAGGTACGTTGGGGAGGTTTTTCCTGGGTCTGATGCATCAGCTTATTTGTAAGAGGGTATTCGAGGTGATGCATAGAAATAGTGGCAGACTTGGTGGGTTTAATAGCCGGAGAGGATGGCCACAAAATGGGAAAGGTGTGTGGTTGGAATATTAAGAGTCGGATAGTAGGATATCCCTATAAATAGTGCCGCGTCGCGTATGTCTCATCCTGCGAGACGGCGCGTTGAAAAGCGATCAACGAGCTTACTACGCGCGCGTGAATGGACCAGCCGAATCCCGTGACCTTCTTGTAGCTCTAATGTCATATCATACCCCCAAAGTACAATGTGCGAGCAAGAGTAATGGGTTTGTCACGAATGCAGCCAGCATTCCACTATTCAGAAGGCTCAATAAGGGGCAGAAGATTGCACCCAACCTATGAATCGTGGGCTTGATACGAAAATCTTACCCGTTTCTGGATCATCCTCCCATTTGAGAGCGCTCACGGACAGCTGTGGCACACGCTGGAAGGTATAGTAGCTGTCCGGTATTATGTTGTGGCCTTCGCTATCGGCGCCGTTGGTAGCCACGATTCTCTCCCATGGACGGTTAAGCCCATCGGGAGTGCAGACTTGCCAGTTGTCTGGATGGGCGAAGAAAGCTCGACAAGAGAGACTGAGTGCAATATTGCTGTGCTCCTACTTCATGTCTTTGATTAAGTTGATAAAAAGCTCAGTATCTCCACGTAAGGCTCGAGGTTATCACACTGTTCTCCTGCGAGTGAACAGACGTTTCCAATGCCCCTAATTTGACAAGTACTCCTTAGTCTATGGGTAGGGGTCTCCTCAATTATATCTATTTCTTGTGTACTGCAAAAAATCAGCGGAGGTGACCTTTGTCGCCTCAGATTCCGCTAGAGGTGGTTTATTCCCAAGAATGAAGGACTTCAAAATATTAACCTCCGAACGCCGGCGAAATACAGTGTCGACTGCGTGATTTCTGTGGTAGCCATAGGAAGGCTGTTGTACAAAATCAAATAGAGCAAGAAGAGGAAAGGTGGGAGATTGCACGCAGAAATGGCAAATAGTCAGTGCAGCGAAGTCCGAGAGATCTTGTGAGTCAGCGGCACACCAGGTCTCCGGACCCATTAAATACGGAGACAAGATTGGGATGTACAAGATACAAGAATTTTTTGCCATCCGTGCTGTGCACCCTTTGTTGAGACAAAAACGAGTGGCTGAGTTGGCCGCCGTCACAACTAACCCGTACTAGTCCTAAAACCCTTCAAGTACGATGAGTGGCGAAGCGCTAAATAGTGATCGGGGGCCGCCGGCTCTCTCCGTTGGGACCCCGGTCGTGAGTCTTGCCCGCACAGAGGCATAAGTGACTCTGTTCTGTATCAAAACGCGCTGTATCGACTCAGAGCTGTGAATTTTGTATCTTCATCTCTATCGCAAACTATGTCACCAGCTGTCATGACAATTTGATATTGTTGTCGCTACTAGCCGGTTATCTGTATCGTCAAGCCAACTGCGATTTGTGAGTGTCCTGAGACTGTGAGTCAAACTTAGGATGACAAGTTGTTGACAATGGGTCTGTCATGTCAGCTGCTCAACAGATCTATTAGAAGCTATTGTTGTGGTACAACAACTGGGCTGTGCGAGCGCGAACTGGCGGGAGCACACATCAGGAAACACCCAAAAGTGCGGAGACACGGAACTTGTACGGAAACTCTGTAGAACTGTGTACTATTCTGTACTTTTGTTCTTGGTGTTTGTATCATATGTACTTGGCACAGTTTAGATGTTAATGGTCGA